CCTCAGACATCATATGAATCCATCACTTAAAATACATTAACTAATACAACTGTTATTGTAATTTTACTTTGAATGCAGCAGGGCCATCAGCAAGTGCATCTAATCTATATAACCTTAGATTATTAAATAATTATATTTCTCATAAAATAAGCTAAGTAATTACTGCAGAACATGACTGTTCTTATGTGTGATTACTTGATTAATCGTCAGAATGATCAATAGATTAATCGATGACTAAAATAATCGTTATCTGCAGCCCTACCTGGTGATTCCGATGTAAGCGACCTCCTGCCGGCTGCTGTTGTTGATCAGAGACAGACCCAGGTTCTGCAGGGACACCTTCACTTCCTGTTCAAACTGCTCCAGCTCCTCTGACTGTCGAGCTTTCGTCACCACGGCAGTGTCCTCCGTGAACAGCAGGACCCGCTGCCGTCCGTCCAGGAAGGACACCCAGTGKATCTGAGATCTGCTGTCCACAGAAAACTGACCTGAATCATCCTGAAAGGAGAAGGATGGACCGCGACAAGGATTATCATCGTTTCTACAACACAAAACATCTAATTAAAAARGGACAATTCAAGCCTTAAAAGCACCAGGCTCTAGAGTGCAACCAGGTATTTTAGTAGTGCGACTAGAAAATATTTCCGTTGTTCGAGGAGGACGGCGGGTCCATTTTTTAAAAAATGGAAGCTGCTTTCAACAAATCGAAGGAACCCCAGAGTCCTTTTATCATTTWAAAAAAGAAATCAGTCAGACTAACAAATAAAAATGTGCTTTTCAGTTATTTTGTGCAAAAGACAGATATTTGCTTTTTGGATTTTGATGCGAGGGAGAGAGGGGAAAGCTCCAGAAGGCCAAACTACAGGAGATGTCCATCTGAGGGGCCCGTGTAGCCTGACAGTGGTTCCCAAACTTTTCAGGTTTTGACCCAAACAATCGCAGCAGCAGAGACCTGAGCCCCCGGCCGTTGTTGGTTGATAAACATTGTTTTCAAATCAAATTAACAAGAGCATAGTAACGTTATTTATTACACTATTTTTCTCCATTTTAAGTTCACTACTCTCATTATTTTGTAACAACAAAGGCAGAAAAATGTGCTTAGTTGTCATTTTTTAGTGTAATTAATTCAGAAAATATTTTCAAGACCCCAGCTTGATGTTTCAAGACCCCAATGGGGGGTCTCGACCCCAACTTTGGGAACCACTGGTCTAAGATATTTAACCCTGAAAAGTCCAGTTTGAGATGTTTAGAAGTTGTTTAACCCTTAAACATTCGCACTTATTTCATTTCATTTATCTTGAGAAGTTTACGGTAAAATTTCAGGTCATAGAATCACTTTAATACTTTTCATTAAATTATACGTCTTGTACAATTTTGGTTCAAATAAAGACTAGATTATCAGCTAAATATTTGCAAGTTAATGCTGCCTTAATGGACAGTGATTTAATAATTAGCTAATTTGTAAAACTGCAATATTAAATGTGATGTCACTGAAAACGTGAGTGCACCTAACCTTTGTGCATCTAAGAAATAAAGTGAGTCTAGAGCCCTGAAAAAACATTTCCTCTTAAGCCCCAAGGGGTTTTCTTGAAGTTTGTGCTCAAAAAAGCATGCCCAAATGTAACTGGGTGTATCTGAGCACCTAAAAACACCATATAAATACCCCTGATATCAAAATAAAGCTAACACTTGGGAGATTTCATCAGGGGTCTAAGTATCACATCAAATGCTTTTGTTTCAGAGATACTGAGGATGGAACATAGAAAAAACTGATTTTTATTCCCCTCGCCTGAGGTTTTTCTGCATTATACAGTATATAACC